AACATTTCATCTTGTCGTGCTTGTAATATTGGTAAAGCTCCATCAAGATAATTCCACTCAAATGCCAACTCTACTAGTTCATCTTCTCTGTTTCGACGTTGTTCTTGTTCCGATGATTCATTTTTATTTTTCATTTTTGTAACTATGAAATAAAGATTAATCAATGAAAGAATTTATTTATTAAAATGACTACCAGTAAATATAGCCTTGAAAATTGTGTTAACTATATTTTTATCGCGATTCATTGAGAAAACATGTAATAGATAACGATTTTCTTTTTGTAAAATCTTTTGAATTTTTTTTGTCTGTGAACCAATATCTGAATACGGAACACTAGGAAAGAATCGATCAAGAGCTTCTTCAATTTCTTTCTCTGATTGGTTCCTATTGAAGAAATATTTAACGTAAAAACAAATACAACATCATATTTTATTACCGATATTGATTTCTATCCGAATTTGATGTCTGTTCGATTAGCATAGCAAGTGCATCGGCTAAACGACCACTACCCTATATTTAAATAACTGTTCAGATCAAGAAATACGAGCCAGTTTCAGCAAGAATCACTAGAAATCAATCGATACGGGAAGTATTATTACGAAACGAAAACTCTGGATTTTCCCAGTGTCTTTCGACCAAACTGTCTGCTCTTTTCCGGTAGAAAATGACCGTAATCATCAGAAAAAGATACAAAGACTGTCTGATCCGTAATATTGCTCCTATGTTTCATCGATTTTCCGTATTTTCATACCAAATACAATGATTTATCTTGCATTTTTCACGCCCGTTACAGTGAAATCCGATAGTTCCTGAACCCGGTATCATCGATCTGGGTGCAATACAATCAAAATGAGTGAGAACTTTGCAATACGAACTTGAATCAAAACAATTGGTCGTTTTTCTTTAATATCATTTTCAAGAACTTCAAGGCTACCAAAACCTCCTTCGACGATAATTGTTACTCCGAAACCTTTATACATATATATATATTCAATTGATTTTCATGATATTAGGAAAACTGTAAGCAAGTACATACATATATGATCATTATCTGTATCTTTGCATGCTTCGATAACAAATTCATGACGCTGCGAATCACCTAGGTATTCATTCAATCTACCACTATCGAATAGAGTACAATGTGTATGATTTCTTTCGATTGTTTCTTTATATTCTTGAGTATTGTCTGGAATCTGTTGCTTACATAGTGGTGTTGGAAATCCCTATGAAATAAAAACATCTTTTGTATTTTAGATGTCTTACAAATATTCTCATTATTTTACGCTTGATACACTTTTAAGTTCAAGACGTGTATCTTCATTTATTGTACCCCACATAGTCATTCCAATACATTTCACTTTATTCGGATATTCTTGTAAGAGGCGATAATGTGAAATACCTTCGCCAACCAATTTCGATATACCATTATCGATGCCGGCAGTGAGTATCCATGCATCTAAATAGATCTATATTAGCATAACAATGTTCAAAACATATTAATTATTTACCGGCCATAGTAGCAGCATGGATAAGACCTCTTATAAATTCTTTTTCAAGTCTTTCTGTCATAGTGGAATATTTGACTCCACCATATACACTTAAGATGAGAGCTGGCTTCTGTTGGTCGCAATTTTCAAGAATGAGCTGATATAAATCTTTCATTGGTAATCGACTATCTATTCGAAGAAATTTACAACCAGTAGGTTTCAATATTCCATATACGTTGATAGGCACTTCGACAGAATATTTCGTGTCGAGAAATTGATTTTTAGGCTCCCATTCAGTATTTCCTTGGCTTCTCTCTTTGGATTCCAGAGATTCATCAGTGAAACTATGACGACGAACCATGCGACCACAAGGACATAATTCATCTGGATTGTCATGAGACTTTGACTGAACATTGTAGACTTTACAGGTGCGTGATTTGAATTTAGATTTTTTACTATGACGAGTGATTAGATCTTTCCATGATTGTGTGCTTTCATCCATTGTTATCTATAATTTTCAGTTATGTTCTCTCATTGATTATTCATATTCTGTTTCAACACTTAAATAGAAGTCTTTTACATGTTGCAATGTCATGATTCAATACAAAGATATACGATATTATATGAAAATAGGTAGAATTTTATATAAAATCGATTTCGCAGTGTACTTAGAATGTTCATAAGGAAAGAATGATGATTATACACAAAAAATCAAGATTTCTGAAGCTTATTGAATCTAGAAAGAGTTCAAAATTATGTTCCAGTTTACTGTGAACAAATGAAAAAAATTTGGAAGGAAGCCACTGTTTCTTCATTGATATGGTGATCATCTTCATTTTTTGTTATAATTTTGGTATAAAAAAAGTATTGTAAAGGTATCACTGTGCAAAACTGAAAAACAAACAAAGCCATAACTATTTATTCTCATTCTTTTACAGACATTTTATGTCAAACGAACGTTTCAAAATTCAATGGTGTATTTTAAGTCACATCATAAGAGAATTTTTATTTGCAGAAAAAAAAACGAAATAACAAATTAACAGCACATTATCATATTTTGAAAAGAAATTGCAAAATTTAATTTCATCCATTGTATATTTCATCGATTTCCTCTTATTCTCAATGTTGAGACGATAGAATGAACGAGAAAATATGAAGGCTTCTCATCAAATCAAATACCTCAGATAGACTTCGGATATTTTCTATTGGAGACCAGGGCTGCCAAATCCAAATTTCAAAAACCAGGAGTTTTTTGCGAAAAATCAGGAGGTGTTTATTGAAATCAGAAAATGAGTTAGTGGTCTTCTCTCAAAGAAAACTGAAGTTTTCGTTCATCTAATCACTCATTATGTTCTTCCATTAAGTTACTGATGACAAAATTTCCTCGAAGTGATATATATTTTTAAAAAAACATAATTATGTGGAATTTATTTTACTACTCATTTCACAGTGATTCATCAAAATATACCGGCAAAATAGAAAATGAAGTTTAATTAGACATCAATATGTAACTAAACAAAATGGGAATACATGGACAATAATTTATCAACTATATCGTTCATATCACTTTTGTAACATGACGATGAACGGAGGAGTCACAAGTCCTGAGTATGCTCGAGCCTACTCTAGGTTGGACAGCTAAAAGCTTAGGTAGGCTAGTGGATGGAATAAATGATGGCTTAGATAGCGTCCATTCGTAGATGATGGAATCACTCGGCTTGAGTAGACTAAAGAGTATCTTAGATTCAGATTCCATAGACTATGGTACGCTCCAATAATTGTTTTCTACTACGTCAAATTGATAGGTTTGTGCAGTACATAAAAAATTTATACAGACGCCAAGATTTTTTGTCGCTATCGGTAACAAATAGTAACATTTATTGAAACAGACCTAGAAACTGTTTTTGAGAAAACTTTTAGATTTGTATGGATAAATGACAAATCTTGGGTGAGCCATGATTTAAAGTGGGGTTCTTTCGTTAAAAGTGACGAAGTACTGCATAAAAAACCTGAATCATATCAGCTAGTAGTTGCCAAAGACTTTCATCATTTTTAGCGACTAAGTTTACATTACCCGATCATTAGTGTTATGAGAGCAACTCTTCTCGATTATTGTTTCTGTTCTCAGAAAAAATTTGTTGTTCTCGCCCGTATATTCTCTTTCTCGGAAAAGACTTGTTTTTCTTGTTCTTACACTCTCATTCCCAGAAAAAAATTTATTTCCACTTCCGTAAGCAGAAGCGTCAACCAGTTCATAGATCGGTGGTGTGTAAATGTGATTTTATTTTTTTAACTTTCGGCAGCGACTGAAAATACTCCACTTTTTTAGTCTGTCGGCGGAGGTGGGTGAATTTGTTGGACGATTTCTTTAAGATTTTCTTATTTCCGAGCAATTATCGGATGGAACAAGAGAAAACAATGGTAGAGAACACACTGATAAAAAAACTAGACAGAAACATCGTTAAAAAGTGATCTCAGGCGTCGAAAAATCTTCAAAACTGTTAATTTTTTTGTCCCACCGACACCCACACCTGCCCGTCGATTTACACTTCTAACTGCAAGACTTCAGGAATTCATATTCATGTTTTATTTTTAGATTTTAAGATAACTGTGACACGACTTCAAATTAAAAATATAATTATGATTGGAGCTACAGTAGGTTAGTTACGTAAAAATAAAAAGCTGTTACATACATGTATCTGAATACGTATGTAAATAGGAGAAAAAGTGTGGGAACACCAATACTTAATGGAGTTCCCATTGTCATAAGAAATGGAGCGAGAAAACGACGCGTATAGAAAAATATTCCCGCAGAACAAAATCTTTTCAACACAGTAAAAACATTCATAATGTGATGTCGTTTTTGTGAACACTGCTGCTTGGACATTATTTTGTTTTTTAGCAAAGCAGACGAAAAACAATTCTTGCGAGAGTTGAAAATCAATGAAGATAATCATCGATATGTTTTCTTAAATGCACTTTTTTTGACACATAAGTTGCAAATGCTTTTCTTATCTCTATCAGCGTCATACATTACAAAATACGAGTTCGAAATGAGAAATACTAACTTTGTTTCATCATGATAGCATCAAAAAAATTGGCTTAGTCCATATTTTTAATTTTCTGGTGCGAATCCTGTAAAAAATTGTTGAACCTACCCTAGATCCAGAACGTTCCGCCACCTATGAACATGGCCATATTTTTCTGAAGACCGAATTTGTTTCAATAGGTCTGAATTATTTAAAGAATAATTATAGAACTCTGTACAACTGACATGATTATTCATTTTAGTTCCTAATTATGCGCCAATAAGATCGTACTTCAAATCGTTTCTATTATCAGCCCACAAAATTTTCATGTGACTGAAGGCCAATTCACAAATAGCATTCTAGGTTGATATAGAAAAAGCGAACTAAACTAGTTTTTGTAAATGAGGTACATTTTAACCGTCAAAAAGATAAGCTCACAAATAAACGCATGTTATCAGGCATAACAAGCAGAAACGACATGTTTTCTCATTGTCTACTGCATCTATGAAATAGTGTGATAGTTCTATTTTTCTTTGTCTTATTGATTCAAAATATCACTACAATTAAACGTGACAAAATTTTTTAAAAAAAACAGGAGAAACCAGGAGAAAATCATAAAAACCAGCTCCTGGATCCAGGAGATTTTTTCGCCAGGAGAAAAGTCTAAAAACGAGGAGTCTCCTGACTAAATCAGGAGATTTGGCAGCCCTGTTGGAGACATACCTTTCTGCTTCTCTATCCAATTCAACTACTTCTAGTTTCTTCAAATACTCATCAGCATCGGTTTCGTTGAAAATATGAATGGAAAAATCAATGTTAATGATACTAATATTCACTAATTGCTAAGCATCACGTTAAAACATTCTGTTCATACTTATAATTAGTATTCAAGTTGGAGAGATTGAACTCATGCAAAAAACATTTCGTAGAACCGTCAAAAAGTTTCCATCATGAAAGATTTTACTGTATCTGATTTAAGCTTGCATCAACTCGAAGAAGTCAAAAAAGCTATTTTCACATAGTGAAAACACAGATATCGGGTATACGCACACTTGCCCGTAGAACACTTGCCCGCCGGACATATGCCCGCGGGACAGTTGCCCGTAGGACACTTGCCCGTGGAGAACACATGCCCGCAACGGACACTTGCCTGCATGACACTTTCCCGCAAAATAAATTCGCACTACTATTCTTCGAAACAAAGGGGACTAATTCCATTGCTTTCAAAATCTTATTCATTTTATCAACTCAGTTATATATACATCTTATAAGTAGTAGAATGCAGAAATGGAAACCTACAACAATATGGGTCATTTACAAACGAACTATCAAGTTCAAGAAAAACAAGTTTGGCCGACTTGACCAGGATGTTAATGGCTAGTGCTACTATTTTTCCAAATTTGTTGTCGATTATTCATTCAAAATATTCAAAACTATTATTTGTTGGTATTGTTTCACCAAATATTTCCGTCGTCTAGTCCCGGGCCAGGTTTGGATTAATTCGACTTCGATCATCGATGGGTCTTTTTTTAGCGGAATTCCAAATGTTCGGATGTGCACAACCTAACTCTAGGACCAAGCTATGTAAAACCAGCGAGGAAAACGATATCAAATAGAAAGAAAATGGTTTGCCGAAAGAAATGGAAGAAATGAATACGAACAGACATAAACACAAGCATGAGGATTAAGTATTGATAGATCCTTGAGAAGTCATACGATTGTTGGAGGATAGTTTGATATCACTAGTTCACATAACTCTGTTGATAAGATGCAGTAATTTTTCAATAATGTAATAAGTTTATAGTTCCTAAATCGTCACCAAGGAAGTATCCTGGTGCACAGCGGAGAAGTGTCCCCACACGGGCAACTGTCCGGCGGGCAAGTGTCCGCTGCGGGCATGTGTCCTTCGCGGGCAAGTGTCCTCCGGGCATCTGTCCGGCTGGCAACTGTCTTAGATTCCAGATATCGGTACTGAAAGTAACAACTCTAATAAATAAAGATCAAATAGATGCTTGAATTATGTACAATAACTTGCCTTGTCAGATGAAAAACTAAACCAACTTTTAAAAAAGCATTTGCTTTGATTTCTTTTTCATACTTATAAATGCAAGTGTTCTGTCAATAAAAATTTTGTCATAAGTCTGTTCGTTGTCTGAGTAACATGTTTTGACAAGAACAAAGAAAAAAAAAGACGGCACACTATTTTACTTCAGTTGTCTTCAGTAATTGATGCTTTCGTTCATATAAAAACAATTACATTAATGATGAAAATAGTAAAGTGATAATAACTTTATTGTAATATAGGGTGTGGGTGTGGCGTGTCGATGGGTGGGTTGGTGTAGGTGTGGGACTTCACTTCATTAACACCCGCATCCTCCAAAAAAAATGCCATTTACAGTGCTACATCAGACACGAAAAAAATATGATGAATCTAGTATTGACAATCCACGGGGCATGAGAAACTCAGCAAATCAATTTTTTCCCATTATTAGCGACCGGATACTGAAATAAACACGCATATCTTGTCTTCTAAAGTATTATTTCATTTTACAAATCCAGCCACGTCGCCACACTCACATTGAACTGCATTTCGGATATCCTCGTAAATAGCGTTATCCATAATTCTAACCTAACCTTTGTTTTTCTCTGAATTTGTCCTTACACCCCATAATTTTCAAAATCGTTCCATGTTATTGTTCGCACATCAAATGGTACATACGGAACGAGGAAAAGAACCTATAATAGCTCATAAACAGTGTCTATTATATCAAAAATCGTCTCAACTTTGTCGAGGAAATGAATAAGCCTAGCAGTTCTGAAAAATCCAATAAATGAGACTCGGAAAATGATGGCACAAATATCTTGTGCGACGAACAACTTATGTATCCATTCAATTTCAATGTTTTCATTAAGTTTCACTTAGAACAACTTCTATTCCTTTGAAGACAACAAAATCGGTAATATATTTTACGAACAAGTTCATATTGCAGAATTACATCACAAACAACAAAACAGTATGCCAACCAATTTTCAAGTCTTTCGTGGACAAGGTTTGTCCATGAAAGACTTTGAAAAAATGATAAAAAACAAAGAAGGACTTATGTTCTTCAATAATTTCCTGTCAACAAGTCGCAACCGAAAGATTTCCTTAGAAAATTTTGCACTACCAGCTACAAAGAATCTCAATTCCGTTGGCATTCTCTTTATTATGAACATTGATATGGATATTTGCACAAAATCATCAAGACCATTTGCCGAAGTAAGCCAAGTTGGCTACTACAAAGATAAAGAGGAGGAAATACTTTTTAGAACACATACAATTTTTCGTATCGATCGCATTGAGCGAATTCATGATAATCAATTTGATCGGCTGTGAGAAGTTAATCTCACTGTTATGGGTAATGACAATTATCAATTGAACACACTTACAGCACACATACGTAAGGAGCTTGGCTGAACGACAGGATGGTCTCGATTGGGTCGTGTACTTAAAAAAGTGGGCGAGCCTGAAACAGCAGAGCAACTCTGTAGGATACTCCTAGAAAAGGCTTCTTCTGATGAAGACCGATCGCATTACAATTATCAACTTGGCTGTGTTTATAGACACATGGGTGAGTACTTAAAAGCACTTTTATATTATGAAAAATGACTGGATATCAAGGAGAAATGTCTCCCTCCGAATTATATCAGCTTGGCTGCTTCCTACAATAGCATCGGTGTGGTGTATAAGAACATGAACGAGTACTCGAAAGCACTTTCGTATTACGAAAAAGCGCAAGAAATTTGGAAAAATTACTGCCTCCAACACCTCCACATATTGTTATCGTGAAAAGAAACATTGAAAATGTAAAGAAAAAGAAAATGCAATCTTTTTCAAGTCAGAAAATAAAATAGCCTTCTTGAAAACTTGGAGTGTGGATGTGGATGGGCGGATGTAGGAGTAACAAACATCCCCATCCCCATCCACACCAACATCTAGTCGAAGCAGCCACAGACTGAAGTGAAAGAATATGCCAGAGGTTTGGAGCAACGTCTCAACAATGAAAACACCTGTACGGTCCGAGTGCGAAGAGTAGGATGTGACTTTAGATTAGATGTCAAGTGTTGATGTCTATGTCGATATAGGCTCATTGGTTTTGCTTTAAGTTTGCATTTTCTATTCAACCAAATGAGCACTGTTTTCACCTACATCCACATTCATACTCATACTCATCCCCAACCCACAAGTTAAAACAGGTGAATTTTCATGCTAAAATGCGTTAGTGGCGAGATCAACTACTTCATACACGTTCTAGGCTTTTATTTATTAAGTGAATGCGAAATAACGCGTTTTTTTTTCTTTTTCTGGGTTTAATGCATTAAACCACTGTTGTGTTGTAATTGCGTCTGCTGGAATAGTCATCAGTTTTACCAGATTTTCCATGATTGGTAGTCAGAGTATCTTGATTTTTACTTTTTTCTAATATTGAACGAATATAACTATGCGTTGCAGCATTTTCAAAAGAATCCCATTGTTCATTTTGTGAACCATGCATAGGAATCATTTCTATATTAATTGTTATTATATACATATATTATAGCTGTGAAATAAAGAAGATTCTTTACAACTTACTAAAAATACGTGTGAACTTTTTTGACAGTGGTACATTATTTTCACTAGCCACCTGGCTTCGACCAAACATTGAATAACATACAGATCGAATAGTCAAAAACAGTAATATGATATGTGAAATAAAAATTAACGGGGGATAAGATAATGGTAAACATTCGAAATATTCTCGTACAAATGAATAACGTTGATAACGCCAATAAAATTCTGTATTTTCTCGAACTTCATCAATCGAATGACTAGATTGAAACATAAAACAACATTCGAAATGAAAATATTTATTTGGAAAAATATTGAATATTCATATTGAAAAAAAGGTAATCTCAACTTTGGTCGAAACTTAGAATGTAGAAAGTACAAATATAGAAAGTAAAATGTCGAAAGTATAAAAGCCGAAAGTAGAAATGTCGAAAATAGAAAATGTCGAAAGTAAAAATATCGACAGTAAAAAATATCGAAAAAAACTACAAAACTATAAAAAGTAAAATATTGGAAGAACGGCTGTTTTGAAAGACAATGGATTAAGATATTATTATTGCGGATGTGGCTGGAGGTGCGTATGGATGTGACTATGGGTGAGGGTGTGTGGTTGTGGATGTTGGTGTGGGTGTGGGTGGCTCTGAATCGTTCATCTAGACCCACACCTGCACCCACAACCATGCTCACGCTCACACCTTCAAAAGGAAAATTATTTAATGTCAATTAAACGCTATATAAAATTTCTGTTGTATTTCATTCTGTTTTTTTAAATGATAAACATTTGATTGGCATTTAGCTGCTTGCTTTTAATTTTCTCACCAAGAAAATATTCAGAAGTATCAACCTCAGTTTTCGACATTGTTACTTTCGGCACTTTACTGTCGGCATCTTTACCGTCGATTATTTTACTTTCGACATTTGTATCATTCTAATTTTCTCGACATTTTCGTTTCGACATTTTTACTGTCGATCAAAGTAGGGAGAATCGAAAAACATCTAAGTTTGGTTTTTACTGATGATAATTTTGGTAAAATTATCTAAAGTAACACGATGCCTACGATGTATATCAGAAGAAGAACGACATTTTCTAGTGGCTATGACTGTTATCGATTAATTTCCACTTAAGGCTGCATGATAGAATTACAATAGACAAAGTTCACAAATTGTTCATCAACTGCTTATCAATTACCATAAAGTGATCTCTAACAGAAAATCAGCCTAACTTTATATTCTAATCGATCTATTATTTGGGATACAATTTGTATATTGCTATTAGCGTATCGCTTTTCTTACACAAAACATATCACAGCAGTAGATAACAGCAAAAGAGGACATCGCACAAGACAAAACAACTGGTATCGGATAGAGCAATCAAAATACTAGCCATAAATAACTTTCTCAAAGGTAGTTGATAGATCGATAGTATAGTTATTCAGTGACAATCTTTTTCTGTGAAGATATATGACAAATACTCTCATTGCTTCCTTACAGTGGCATCGGTACTGAACTATGAAATGGGAAAGGATACTGAATAAGTGAGATGCGATCAGAGTTTCTTATTGCCATACATCTCAATTTCATACTTACGTGAAAACAGCAGTTATTAAACTGAGTAAAAGAATATTAATTAATAGCATGTGAAATGCTAACAAAACATGTGTTGCTGTCGCTTCTGCAACATTTCCTGTTGCATTACTACTATCACTGTTAATTATGTCTAAATATTAAAAATACATAGATCATTTTCAAATATGTAAAACAAGAATCACCATCAAGTAAGTTTTTATCTGAGACATCTCCATAAATAAGCCAATATGGTTCATAAAATATGTGACCAAATATACCACGACCAGTAAATGGTACTTGTTTATAAAGAATCAATGCTCGAGATACAACTCCATAAGCAGTTAATGCTATGAAAATCATATAGACGAAAGCAAATAAGTCCCGAAGCTAAAATTAATATTAATATTTCAAAACTTATGATTTATTATTAATGCATTTATTAACTAACCATATTTTTTAGCATAAACAATTTAGGACCTAAAAATCTTAAAGCAATAACAAACTTTAATGATCGAAGATACCATAATTCAAGATCAAGTGCCCAAATAATTCTAAAATACATACAATTCATCAGCAACTTTACAAAAGTTTCAACAAACCTTGCAGTAGTAAGTAAACTTTCATTATAACTACTATATCGAAAACCAAGACCCAAATAGAAAAGAAAATAAGGCATAATATAAAATCCATTTGTCAAAACAGTTAAAACAGTAGATCCAGTTGAGCCCCATCGTTCAGTCATTCGTGTATCATATTCATGATAAATCTTCATATAAAAAATCAAAAACAAATTATCGCAAAAGGTAATTGAATTTTACTCTTCGAGCTTCTTCACAAAACATAGTTGAAACAGTAATAATCACATAGATTTCACTCCAATCAGGAATAGTAAATGTATTTCGACCATCTAGATGATAAAGCATCATATAACTAAATACAAGTAGAAACCACACATAACTTATCTAAATTATTCGAAAATATCTTTATTTATTCTATAAAAAAAGTAAAATAGTAACATACAAAATGATACGACATTTTTATCATTGGACTTTCATGAAAATATCGAAAACGTGTCCAATAATTAGTACATTTGTCTTGTTTTGAATGTTGTCTATCAACATAATAGTTTATACCTTCTTCAGATAGACTATAATGAAAATCATTTATTTATAAAATCTTTATATTAATAATCAATATCGACTCACTCATTATTCGTTGTATTCTAAAATACAATATTTTGAAAAAATTCCAAATTAAAAAAAGTGAATCGGTTACAGACATGTATTGATTCTTCATTGTCTTTTCGATAACTGACTTCCCAAGGTGCTATCAAGCCAAAAGTAAGAATTGAAGGAATTAGTAATAATTTTGCTGTTGTTTGACGATTAGTCAATGATAGTTTATTGTACCATATTTGATTTAATGTTTGATGAAAACAAACTGTTTTAAGTAATTCTTTACTTTCACTTGAAATAGCAACCTAACAAAATGAAAATTCTTTTGATTGACTTTTATTTTAATACTTAATGTTCTTAACCTGCATGCATGTAACATTACCAAAAAGTGGTATTCGTCGTAAAAGTAATTCACAAGCACGTTTCTCATTATATTCATAACATTTATCAATAAATATTGCAGCATATGTTTCAAATTCTAATGATTGAGCTAGAAACTTGTGTTTCAAGTAAACTGTTTGAGATGATTTAGAATATCTTTTAAATACAGCTGAAGCAATAAGAGCAGCACAAATACGAAATCGAACATGAAGAAGTAAGACTTTAGCCATTTCAGGCATATCCATAAAAACAGACCATAAAAAAAGATCACGCAACATGCGATACTTCATCAATTTGTTGTTTATTTGATCATATTTTATTATTTTACTAATAACTTGTAATTCAAAATCATCTTTAACATGTGTATGTGATCCACAACAAGTACATACATGATTACTCAAATCAATTTTGATACGATTCTTAAAACTATCATCTTCAAATGAATAAATCGATTCAATGAAAGAACCCACAAATTTA